CAGGTAGCAATCCGCCACCTCGACCTCCGGGGCGAGAAAGCCCCGTTCGTAAGTGCGGATCCGCGTAAGTCGGGGACTGCCTGTACTCCAGTCTCCCTATCTGTGGAGAACTAGAATAGGTTAGTATGACAAACTGCAGTCCAAGAGCTGAGAAAACATCCATCGGTGGTTTCTAGGCTCAAATAACCTAACCTAGAGTACATGCCTAAGCACCCCAGAGGGGATATATGCAGTGCAAAATCTAAGCATGACAGGGAACATGTGGTATATGACTAACCCCGACAGCCACCGTAGGCCTGGGGGCCAGGTGTGGGGGCCTAGCTCTGCACCTCGTGGAAGGGGCGGGACATTGGGTGGAAGGCACAGGCCCGGAGAAGTCAGCCCTCGGTGCTGCACAGAGTGCGATGCTGGTCCCCCCCTTCCAGCTCTCAAAGCCATGCGGAGTGCCCAGCACGATGCTCTGGCGGCAATTCAAACTCTGGCCACTGCATCTGCTGCAGCCGCAGCAGCAGTGCCTGGAAGCTCCGGGCCCCTTTGAAACACTGGGCCCCGGGGTAATGGCTCCTGTGCTCCACTCATCGGCAGCCCTGACTAAGTCTGTTCCAACGAGTAGAGCGCTTGTGTCTTTCTCCAGTTACTTCAAGAGCAGTCTCTTTGTCTGGCTGAAAATGTTTAGGAAGCACCACCAATAAACAGGTGGGAAGCAATTAACTGCTGATCGTGCTCAGAAGCTAATTGTAAAACTTGATCCCTTGTCAAATGCAGATTAAGCAAAGAAAAACATTAAGCAATCTCATCCAGGAAACCCTCGCCAGCGCTTGTGTCTTTCTCCAGTTACTTCAAGAGCAGTCTCTTTGTCTGGCTGAAAATGTTTAGGAAGCACCACCAATAAACAGGTGGGAAGCAATTAACTGCTGATCGTGCTCAGAAGCTAATTGTAAAACTTGATCCCTTGTCAAATGCAGATTAAGCAAAGAAAAACATTAAGCAATCTCATCCAGGAAACCCTCGCCATTAGTGGATGCGTTCCCACAGCCACTGCCAATGGCAACATTGGGATATTGGGAGCCACAGCTTCTGGCCCCTGCTGTGAGCTCCCCACGGCTCCTGAACTCACCACGGGGGCTGGGAGCTGCAGGGAACTCACCACAGCTGCCAGGAGTCGGGGGCAGGGAGGGGAATTCATCGTAGCTCCTGATAGCTGTGGGCAACTCATCATGGCTCTGGGCATTCGCAGGGGACTCACTGCAGGGGCTAGGAGCCGTGGTGAGTTCTTCGTGGCTCTGGCCCCCTCCAAGGCCAGGCCAGGAGACCCACAAATACATGGAACCACCAGTAACGATTCCGCAAACCATGAGGGTCTCCTGTAATTATGAATGACATGCAATTCAAAAACATTTGAAGGAGGGATGGCCTCCTGGCCTTAGGAGAGCTGGTCTGGCAAACACGTGGCAATTAAAAAGAGAGATACCATGAGAGCTAATGCTGCTCTCCCTAGGAGCTATAACTCCTGCAGTTTGCTCCCTGTCACCTGTCGGTGGGTGGGCAGGGGAGAGGGCACATGGGATACTGATAGAAGGGCTGCCCTCAGGCCCCAGAATAGCTAGACAATCTTTGTTGGTCCTGCTGTGTGTTTGGAAGCTACAGGCCTACAATCCCTCGTTCCTCCACCTGGATGGAAGCTCAGGAGTAAGAACTTTTTAGGGTTTCCTGCCTAACCTTCTTTCAGCCCTGGCCTGGGGTTTGCCATGGGGTGAGAGATGTAACCCCTTTCTGTCCTGCTTTCTCCATAGATAGTAGCACCATCCCACTCCACCCGGAGGCTCTACTGGGTCTCATTTGTTGAGTATGTTGGTAGCAGCTTCTATAGCAATAAACTGTTGGTTTATTATTATTATTATTATTAGTTACTTACCTAAAAGGCTGTTGAACCCTCTTGGTTTTCACCAAAACTTGCTTGAACTGGCTTGGCGGTGACCCTTCTGGTAAGGTGCAAATAGGTCACAGATTTCTGGCTCTAGCCTCACTCCAGGAACTGCAAACAGTGACTGTGCTGAGGAGGAGCCAAGTTGGAGGAGAGAGTGAAAAGGATCTTTTCCTCACCAGCTCTACTCTGTATCCTCTGCACTCTCACTCCACCCACAGGTATCGCTTCACCTAAAATTGGGGGAGGGAGCCGCAGTGGCCGCCGGGAAGCTCTGATCTGCCTAATGCTTCCCAAAGCCACTGTTTAGAGCAATATAGTTTCGTGCACATGGAACATTTATCCAGACAAGTCCTTCCAGTTGAGTTAGTCTTAGTGCCTATAACCGGTTTACCCGAATGAATCACAGTTGGCCCTAGCTCCTGGCATGAAAAACATGGCATTTATTTCAGGAGCAGGCATTTTAAAAGACACAATATGGGATGCTGTAAAACATATTGGCTGTGGATTTGATCCTGCAAACACTTCAACACATGGGCAGTTCCATTACTCATCACATGAATGGAGTTACTTGGGTGCTTATGTGCTTGCAGGATCAGACCCTTCTTAGTCAACTAAAACTCACTGAAATTTAGTATAGATAGTGGAAAGAGGAGAATTTTAACTGCAGGCATCAGAAATGGTAACACACATAAACCTGCAGGGCCGTGATGTCCAACTAGTTCTGAAGCAGTAGCCTCACATGTGGCTGGTGACTAGCATGTTGGACACCACAGCTGTGGGGAACATTTTAACCTGCTTAGTCCCCCCAATTATGGATTTAAAAGTGGCCATTCTTCTACAAAGGAATTTCACTAACCAATTACAGAGGGAGATTGCAGAACTGAAATTCATCTGCAAGTTTGACACGGTTACCCTGGGCTTGAATAATGGTTGGCATATTACAAAACCAATTTCTCCTGTCTTTAACATCTGCATTTTCAAATCAAAAGCGATGAATGGGACAGATCCAGCCCACTTAATATGGATCCTACAATTGACAGGTAATTCTTTTGCTGTTGTGTGTGTGTATATATATATATATAATTTTCCGTTATTTCTACTCCAGTTCAGCTGATGAAGTGGGTTTTACCCATGAAAGCTCATGATTCTATATATATATATATATATATTAATTTCTAAGGTGTCACAGGACTACTTGTTGTTTTTAAAGTTACAGACTGACACAGCTACCCTTCTGAGTCTATTTATAAAGTCGCAGAGGGGCAGCCCATGTTAGTCTGTATCGGCATAAAATGAGGAGCCCTGTGGCATCTTAAAAACTAACAGCATTTGTAAAGTGTGAGGAAAGGGGAATCTTACATTCTACTTTTCTAATCCTGACATAAACTGATTTGGAAACTTTTTTCTCACTACTCTCTTCTTTCTTATGCATTTTTGGATAAGGAAGGAGAGAATGCAGTTGTGTTTCTTTAACTCTGTCTCCCTTGCCCCTTAAAATTTCATCTAAGTTTTTTGTTTGTTTTCTCCTTTTTTAAACAAACAAACAAATAGCAAAACATTACTTGGCAGAACTGTGGTGGGAATGCAACCTGCTAATCAAAAGGATTCAAATCGATCTGTGTTCTGCCATGCTCTTTCCTTCCCGCCCAGTGGAGGGAAAAAAGAAAGAAAAGAGAGAGAGAGAAAGAGAGAGAGAATGAGAGCGAGAATGAAGGCATACAGATTCTCTCCTTCAGCAATCTCACAAATGCAAAACCTTCCACTCCAGTGACTCCTCATTAACTTACCGAATCTGACAGTCTAATTATCCCAGATGCTTCACGCTTAGAATAAATAAATACTAAAGTGGTTGTTTAAAGAAATTGAGAAGGGAAATTCAGTCATCTAGACAGTCAATAGTGAGAGTTTATTTTAAATTTTTATATTCCTATGTATTTATATCATTTTGGGGAAGATAATGAGATAGTTGTCTTTCAGACTAATTGAGTTCCTAGGCTCATGGCTGCTTGTTGTCACTGTCTCAAACTTAGCTTTAACTTTTGTGCCTTAGAAATCTGATCACTGCATCTCCATTTACCCTTCTCTGCTGATAATCTGATGAAGGCAGAAGTGCACTGGAGAGTGCAAAGTAACTAAATGGTATTTCTGGTCTCAGCACCTTTCACAGCAAGCGAGACAGCTAAATCTTTTTAGATTTGCCTGGAATGGTCTTCAAAGAAAAGTGCAACTTAAAGAAACCTCTGAGAGAATTGTGTAATAAAATAAGCAATCATGTCTAGTAACCTCTTAGGCTGTGTCTACCCTACAAAGAAAAGCCGGAAAAAGATATGCAAATTGCGAATCACAATTTGCGTATCTTTTCCCACTTTTCTTCTGAAAGAGGCTTTTCCGGCATTTGACCCATCTACATGGGGCCAAATGTTGGGAAAAAAACCCTCTTTCAGAAGATCTCTTCTTCCTCGTAGAATGAGATTTACAGGGATGCCGAAAAAACGCATCTGCTTTTCCGAATTTTTTTTCGGTATCCCGGAAAATCTCTGCAGTCTACACATAGCCTTACTCTGTGGTGTTGGCAATATTCAAGGGTGTTAAGAGCACCCATCAGTCACCACCTTTCTGTTGCAATTAAACATAGACCCACTGGAGAGTTGCTCCGGATTTCTACCAGGGTGACTGAATGCAGCATTTGGGTTTTTGGCTATTGCACTGGGGTATGTTTACACTGCACCGCTTTAAGGGACACAGCCATGTGGCTGAAAGTCAGGCACTATTTGTAGGCACTTCTGCTGACCAAAATCTCCCACCCTCCTAGGAGTCGCCTTTGTCGGCAGGAGACTGACTCCTGCCCACAAAGCACTGTTCACATGCCTGTTACTGGGCAAAGCTTTCATGGTCAGTGGGGGGATGGCATTAAAGCACCTGTGGAGGACAAAAGCTTTGTCATTCAATTACCAGTGTAGACTAAGCCTTGCCAGAGTACGTCTGGGCTGAACATTTAGGTTTATACTCAGGGCTAGGTGTACTATTTTCAGGAGCATGCACAGGGAACCTTCCTCCCCTCCCATCAGGCAGCCCTGTTCCCTTGTGCTCTGGTTCCCTTGCACTCAGGAAGTGTGAGGCCAAAGAAGGCCCTTTCAAAGGGATTAGCAGAGGCTACATTCCCAGCGGCCTGCACCTCAGGTACTTTGCTTCCGGAAGTTCCTGCTTCGATGATGCACCTTTGCATTGCCTGCTACCAAGAGACTTTACACAGGCACAACTTCCAGCATCCCTGGGAATGTGGCCTGAATAAGGAATGAGAAAAGATTTGGAAAATTGTCCAGAAATGACTCCAGAGAAAGGACTGTTTTGATGCCTGGCCCAGCATAACCTGAGGCTGCTGTTGAATTTTGAGTTGCTCCCACGTGAGACACATGAAAACTGGATTTCTACATTTTAAAATGGTCTCAAAGCTTCCAGGGCATCTGAAATTGATTTTCAAGATGAGGTGAGTCCTTAGGGTGTCGCCATCCAAGTATCATCCAAGAACGCAGCGGTGGGTAGGCACGTGGCAGGACACGGATGTAGCTGCATAAACATCTCAACTGGGACTGAGAAGCTAATCAAAGCTGCTGACTCTGTCGAGAGACTGTTTCACAGACGGAAGCCTCCTGCAGGCTGCGTGGTGTTTACACTGAATTTTCCCACAGGTGCCTTCTGGCCAGTGCTTGTGCAGTGGGGCAGTGATGAAGTGGTGCTGTTTTAACCACCGTGTTCCCTAGGGCTGCTCTGAGCTAAGTTCTGTGATACAGCAGCTAAAAGGTCTGGACCCTCATGACACCATTATCCCTCCCCTCCCCAAAGAAGCGATGGCAGCAACCGTGGGGAGTTTTAGGCAAACCAGGTAGAAGAGAGACGTGTGCATGTCTGAAGGTGGCTGGGAAATGCTCTTGCCTGGCTCGAAATCTCTCCACCAGTTCAGAAAGGATGAAATGCCCCTGCTAGCAAAGGCTCAGCATCAGGCCCAGGCACTACTTAAATCAGGGTTAGCCCCTGGCAGGCTCCCACTGCTATGTTTTCCTGCTCCTCTGCAGGTTCCAGTGATTGTGGCTCCCATTGGCCGCAGATCACTGTTCCTGGCCAATGAGAGCTGTGTGAAGAGGCGTCCTAGTCTGCGCAGCTTCCCGCCGCTTCCATTGGCCAGAAACAGCATTCCATGGCCAATAGGAGCTGTGACTGCCCATACCTGCGGAGGTACAGATAGGTATAGCAGGGGCAGCCAACCTGAGCTAACCCTGGCGAACTGGATCCGGACCGGTCCAGTTCTACCTGGTCCAGTATTTGCCCACTCCTGAATGAAATCCTACTTAACCCCTCAAAATAGGACTTGAGTGAGACTTAATGGTTCCTGGGCCTTGGGATGATCCTCTGCACAGGGTTGAATGTCCCCAACTTTGGCAGAAAGGCTTCTGTTAAGTTGGGCCTTTAGTCCACTGGGAACTTGAAGGCACATCAGACTCAAGCCTCTCTGCTTCTCTGCTTTCTCCTTCTGAGGAGAGAAACTACCCACTAGGTTTTGATAGCAGCCTTTAACTACCTGAAAGGCGGGGGAAGGGCTCCAAAGAGGATGGAGAGAGGCTGTTCTCAGTGGTGACAGATGGCAGAACAAAGAACAATAGTTTCAAGTTGCAGTGGGGGAGGTCTAGGTTGGAGATTAGGAAAAACTATTTCACTAGGAGGGTGGGGAGGCACTGGGATGGGTTCGCTAGGGAGGGGGTTGACTCTCCATCCCTAGAGGTTTTTAAGTCCTGGCTTGACAAAGCCCTGGCTGGGTTGATTTAGTTGGGGTTGGTCCTGCCTTGGGCAGGGGATTGGACTCAATGACTCCTGAGGTCTCTTCCAACCCTAGGATTCTATGATCATAGACTCATAGAACTGGAAGGAACCTCATCCAGTCCCCTGCTCTCACAGCAGGACCAGGCACCATCTAGCCCATCCCTGACAGGTGTCTGTCTAACCTGCTCTTAAGTATCTCCAGAGTTAGAGATTCCACAACTCCCCTGGGCAATTTATTCCAGTGTTTAACCACTCTGACAGGAAGTTTTTCCTAATGTCCAACCTTAACACCCCCTGCTGCACTTTAAGCCCATTGCTCCTTTTCCCTCACCTCCCTATGACACCCTTTTAGATACTTGAAAACAAGTTTATGCCCACTCCTAGATCATCCCTGACAGGCATCTGTGTAATCTGCTCTTAAAAATCTCCAGCAGTGGCGATTCCATGATCATCAGAACAGAGTAGGAACCGAGCCTGTTTAAAATCTGCACTGTTATCATTGCAGCCAGAATGCTAAAATGGTACAATTCAGCTCCAAAATGATGGGATACCAGACTCACGCAGACGAACAAATGTCTTACATGATTAGAGTAATGGAGATGGATGCACTGGGGATTATTCAAAATTGCCTAATTTTTACAGTCGTAATGAGCTGCTCATGAATACAATTTTGTGCACTCGTACCGTACTTGTTTCCATCCAATTCACTTCAATTTTGTTCCCAGCATATTTGTTGCTGTGCTAGTGACAGGTCCACTGAGGTGCCTCTCACGGCGATGCAGTGCAACACTAGTGATAATAAATAGGAGAGGGACTGAAAACCCTTGTGAAAAGAATTCATCCCCTGCAGGGGATTAGGCATTGGATATTACATCTTGTCCAGGAGAGTGACACATTGTGCCAATCTGTTGGCTCATTCCCTCTCCTATTTCTCTCTCTCCCCGCTTTCTGTCTTACTGTCTGTCTGTCTCTGTACCTATTTTTTCCACTCTCGCTCTTTCTCTGTCTCTTGGCACTGGCACTTTCATCTCCTCCCTTGGGGATTTGAGATGTCACTGCAGGAAGTGCTTGTCCGCCTCTCCGGCAGCAGCAGAGCCCTGTGGCTTTGACAAACCTCGTTTAATTGGGAGGAAGCCAGGAGGGTTTGAAAGAACTGAAACAGTCACGAAACTCCTTTTATCAGGCATAATTTAAACTCTGCATGGAAAAAACCCTATATGTATAAAGAAAAGTCAACTTCCCTCCTGCTGCGCGTGCTCCCCTCCTCCCCCCCGGCACAGGCAGGCTCCTGCGAGATTCCAGCTTTTCATTTTTCTGAAAGTGTCAAAGTAGATTTGTGCTCTGTGGCTGGGTGAACAGAAGAGGAATACAGATGTCTCTCCCTCACTCGCACATCGCCTTCAGAAGAGTGGCAGCGCAGGAACGACGTTGCCAGCTCCTTTGCTTGGGATGTGTCAGTAAATCCAAAAGCAAAAGTTTTCACTTAGCTTAGCAACTTGGTCCAAGAAGGCTCCTCCTTGGGAGCTATTGCCAATTCAGAAAAGGATCGGGATATCATACAGGAAGATCTGGGTGATCTTGTAAATTGGAGTGATAGCAATAGGATGAAATTTAATAGTGAAAAGTGTAAGGTTATGCATTTAGGGATTAATAACAAGAATTTTAGTTATAAGCTGGGGACACATCAGTTGGAAGTAACGGAGGAGGAGAAGGACCTCGGAGTCCTGGTTGATTATAGAATGACTATGAGCCGCCATTGTGACATGGCCGTGAAAAAGGCTAATATGATCTTGGGATGTATTAGGCGAGGTATTTCCAGTAGGGATAAGGAGGTGTTAGTGCCATTATACAAGGCATTGGTGAGACCCCATTTGGAATACTGTGTGCAGTTCTGGTCTCCCATGTTTAAGAAGGATGAATTCAAACTGGAACAGGTACAAAGAAGGGCCACTAGGATGATCCGAGGAATGGAAAACCTGTCTTATGAAAGGAGACTCAAGGAGCTTGGCTTGTTTACTTTAACCAAAAGAAGGCTGAGGGGGGACATGATTGCACTGTTTAAATATATTAGAGGGATAAATACCAGGGAGGGAGAGGAATTATTTAAGTTTAATACCAATGTGGACACAAGAACAAATGGATATAAGCTGGCTAGTAGGAAGTTTAGACTTGAGATTAGACGAAGGTTTCTAACCATTAAAGGAGTGAAGTTCTGGAACGGCCTTCCAAGGGAAGTAGTGGGGGCAAAAGATCTATCTGGTTTCAAGATTAAACTAGATGGATTTATGAAGGGGATGGTTTGATGAGATAACATGATCTTGGTAACTAATTGACCATTCATTATCAGTGGGAAATAGGTCAATGGAGGGATGATAGGAGTTACTACAGAGAACTTTCTGGGTGTCTGGCTGATGAGTCTTGCCCACATGCTCAGGGTTTAGCTGATCACCTTATTTGGGGTCGGGAAGGAATTTTCCTCCAGGGTAGATTGGCAGAGGCCCTGGAGGTTTTTCGCCTTCCTCTGTAGCATGGGGTACAGATCACAGCTCCAGGATTCTCTGCATCTTGGGGTCTTCAAAGTATTTGAAGGCTTCAATATCTGAGATATAGGTGAGAAGATTATTCTGGGAGGAGTGGGTGAGATTCTGTGGCCTGCACTGTGCAGGGGGTCAGACTAGATGATCATAATGGTCCCTTCTGACCTTAAAGTCTATGAGTCTATGAGTCCTTAATCACCCTTATCTGGACAAGGAGCTGGTGGCCAGGAAGCTTTGGAGAATGCTAGGATCACTGAGCACATTATACAGGATGGGAAAGAAGTTTTCCAACTCTGTAGCGTGTTGGGCACTATTGTCTTTAGGTACAGGGGTAATATGGGTGTGTGTGTGTGTTTGTATGTGATGAGCGAGTACAGAGGGAAAGAAAAGTAAATGCAGGTAGTTCTAAGAGAGCTGGCATCACAGGATGCAAGGGACAGCTGGTGTCTTCAAACTTCAAAAAGCAGCAGAAGGGCTATTTCAGCAAAGAAGGGCTAATGCATTGCACCAAGCAGCTGGGAATTCAGGATATGAGCAGAGCACAATTAGAATTAAACTGATCCCTCTGGAAATACAGCATAAGCCAGTTCTAGGGTGCGTGGTTACACATTTGGGGTAAGGACAGCGTTATATCAAGGGATTCACACTATTCCTTTTTCAGTGAACCCCCAGTATTAAGGTCCCCTCCATACTCCTGTCATGTGTTCAAGTGGCAGCCGAGAGCCCCCAAACTTTGCAAGGGATGAAGGCCTCCCAGGAGCCATTTGGCTTTTAATTACTCAGCACGTTCTTAACAAGTCAGATGTGAAGTAGCCCCCTTCTTGCTGCGCTGGGATCGGGAATGAACGTACCGTCATGAAGCTGAGACAGGCGAGACGGCAGAGCCCTGAAGAAGCTATGAAGAAGTGTGTCCTGTGCAGAGACCCGTGCTCGAGGAAAAGCTTTTAACATTTTCGATGCCAGGTCTTCAGCGCCTGGCACCCTGCCCAGCCTAGAAAAGCAAGAGAAATAAATCCCCCCCGAGTTGGGTTAAAGCCAGAAAACCGAGAGCTAGAACCAGATCAGAATCTGAACTTCTTGAAGCTGGGGGGCAGGATTGCAAGCTGGGGGGTTTGGGTAGGCCCAGTCTGGAGACATGGGCCTGTCATGAAGTTTGGAGCTCCCCCGGTCTTGTTATGTTTTTGAAGGTGTATATGTCCAGAAATTTGGTCAGACCCAACTGCATATCAGCCTGTTTAGAATCCTCCCTTCTCCCTTTTGAAGAGAAATTGTTACTTTGCAAAGAAAGGGCTTGGAATAAAAAAAGACACTAGCAATTATGGAGGGCTGTATATTACATGTGTCATAACTAGAGCCTCCCAAGTTACTATTATGGTCAACGACGTTGAGCTACGCAGGTGTGAAAATGTCAGTGTGCAAATACTCCGCTGGACTTGTCAGGGTATGTCTGCACAGCAAAGAAAAACTCACAGCTGGCCTGCACCAGCCAACTCGGGCGCATGCTATGGGGCTGTTTTATGGCAGAGTAGACTTCCCGGTTGGACCCTAGGATCCTGCAGGGTGGGAGAGTCCCAGAGCTCAGGTTCCAGCCTGCGCTCGGAAGACTACACGGCAATGAAACAGTTGCGCAGCCTGACCACTGAGCCGTGGGCTTTTCTGAGCTGTGTAGACTCACCGTTAGTGGCCACTACAGATTTGTGTTCAGGCTTGAGAAGACAAATAAAGCATCCTGGCCCCGTCTCCTCCCCTCCAGATCGCTAGTGCAGTCGGGCCTCAGCTGTGTCGGGAGCATGCCAATTGGAATTACTTGCTTGGGACGAATGTTTTCAACAAGCAAAATATACCCAGCAAATGCCAACGGCAAGTGGCTGGCTCCCAGAGACGACTGCAGCTGGGCGAGGAGGAAGTGAAAGAGAGAAAACAAACAAACAAGCAAAAAACCCGGCGCTTTTGGTTTTTCAGCTTTCCCTTTGTTTGTTTGCTCTGCTCCTCATGTGTCAGCCTCAGGTGGCACATCAGAGCTTGGCCAGTTGTGTTTACTGACTACCCCAGCTGGTGCTTCCTCTCTAAATGACATCACAGGACTGGGAGCCCCCATGTGTCCGGCTGTTTTTTTCCTCTGATGAGTGTGCTGCACAGAGTGCCTGGCGCCCCAGATGTCATGTTTTGGGGAGAGAGGGGGAGACACTAGAGCGCACAGCTTTGGAAGAAGTCAGGCCTTTGCGAGACTGTGATGGATGATGGCTCAGTTCACACTTTGGGCAAAACCACACCACCAAGCCCCTGCTTTTTCAGGGTGCGTCTGCACTGCCGGCCTTAACTCGAAACAAGCCATGCAAATTGAGCTACGTCAATTGTGTAGCTTATTTCGAAGCGTCTACCCATCCCTGATTTGGAAATAGAGCCCTCTTCCTCCGACTTCCCGTACTCTTCATGCAATGAGGGTTACAGGAGTTGGAGTCAGAAGTCCTCCAGCTTGACAGTATTTTGACACTATTTCGAAATACCTGCCTGCTGTGTAGACGTGGACTAAGTTATTTCGGAATAGTATTTCGGAACAGTGTTGCAGTGTAGACATACCCTCAGGGAGCAAGCTTCTGAGACTCAGATTCTAGGTGTGAGCCCATGGTACCAACAGAAAAAAAGTGCCAGGTTCTTCTCTTCCTACAGCTCCCTTTGCCCTGCCTGGTATCCCCAGCCTGGTGATCCATACCAAACTCTCCAAGTTCCACTCCGCTCCCATGAACTGGGCAGAACTCTCTCCCAATTCCTGAAGGGGCCATGGAGGGCTTAACAATATGAGCTTCTCCTTCCCATCTTGAGAGAGGAGTGTGCAGCCTCTGCACTGTTAGATCCTGCTGCCTTAAGGAGAGGCCAGAACAAAGAATGGAAGCTGGTTTAGCATGCAGGGCAGACCTCAGGCATTGGCCGGCTAATTGGGGTGCGCTTTCCTGGACCTTTCCAAGTGTTCACTACTGGCTCCTATTGCCATGGGACTCTGGCCAGTGAGAAAGAAGCTTAGCTGTGCCACCTAGCACAGGCTCCAGGGAACACATCTGGTTCCCTGGTTGCTGTGGTAGCTGCCTGGTCTCCAAGGGAGAAAAATGATCGTTTGCAGAGGCCTGGATGTGTCTGAAGATATGGATTAAAATTCCAGGTGCCTCTGAAATCGGTGTTCTGCTGAAAGCTTCCGCAGCACCTCCTTTCCGAAACTCTGAACGGGTGCTGGGCAAAGCAGGGAGGTGCCTGCACGACAGTCCTTAGAAGGGCAGTTCCTGCGTAAAGGCCACAATCTACCCAGGAGCGGCTGGGGGGTGTGAGCTCTTTGGAGCCGGAACAGTCTTTGTGGCCAGGGTTGCAAAGTTCCTAGCATCACTGGTGCTTGGGCTGGGAGGGTGTGTGGTGCCCAGTGTCCACGGCCACCTTGGGCAGCTTTACTCGAGGTGCAGAAAACCTCCAAAGAGCTACTACTAATCTGGTTTATCACAGACAGCACTCTGGCTGCTGCCACTGCATGGCCAGGCAATGTTCCTCCCCTGACCTCAAATCCCACCTTGTGGGATGGAGGTGTAGGGAGGTTATCTCTGGGCCAGCCGGGCATGATCAGTGCCGGCTTCAATCCCTCTGGGCCACTTCACAATAATGCTTCCTATTATAGATCAAAGCAAACTGTAGTGACCGGCCCCTCTGAAATAGCTAGGGGTGCTCTGTGGTGGGAAAAACAATTTCCTAGATTGTAAATAGCTTTCCCTGGCAGTAGGGTGGACTGGTGTGGCGGGAAGGAGGAGTGGGAGCTCTTTTAAGGCTGACACTCCAGCACAGGAGGGAGGGAGGGAGGGAAAGTGAAAGGTGCTGTACTGCATGGGCAGT